GGGTCATGGGCGTGGGTTTCGTGTCTATGGTTCTGCAAAGGGAGAAGAATAAGTGCATTGCTTAGAAGCCTCATGTCCTCGCTCGCTGTACTGTACGTGCGTCTCTCAAAGCTATAAATCGCCTGTACCATGCTCATCTCTCATATCCCATATCCGACATCATACCATGCATCATACCAAGCAAATCCCAGCCATGCAACGCGATGCAACCCCCCTCACCCACCCAAAGAAAAGGCAAAACACCCCTGGATATCATCACTATAAATCATAAAAGCCCTCCAATGCCCATATATCCCAAACCCTCCGTTCGGCTACTTTATCCCTCAGTCGCCAAACCATGACCCCCAACAAGATCCTACATCAAACCGCCCAACACAACCTTGCCCACACCCCCAACCTCACTCTTCAACCCCGCCCTACAACTATCCTCAAACTCCTTCACCACCCCCGCAAGGATAATCTTCCGAACCCTCGCATCCGCTTTATTAAAGAGATCACCCACGATACTCGGCACGCCGCCACCGGCCGCCACCACGCTCTCGGGAGTACTCAGCATGCTGAGGATCTTGGTGTAGCAATCAATCAGGACGTCGCAGAGCGTGGCGAATGTGCTGAAGAGATCCGGGTCAAAGGGCAGCGAAGGGGTTTGTAGATAGGTATACGACTCGTTGGGAAGTAAAAGGTCGGAGTCTGGCGGGACATCTGGGCCCGCAAAGCCATGGCCTGTCTCTGAGTTGAAGGAGCCGCTTGGTGTCAACATGGGAAAGTCGCCGGCCGCGCTACTGCTTCGCCTGCCTTTGCCTCCCATGTTCAAGTTTGCGCGTTTGAACATTTGCGGGATGCGTGCTCTGCTGAGTGACGAGGGCGTGCTGCCGTCGGCGGGGTGGATGGACTGGTAGGTTTCAAATTCGAGGAGCAGGGCGTTGAGGGCTTTGAGGTAGTCGGAGGGCGAATTGGAGTTTAGGTCGAGGATGTTGGGCAGGGAGAAGCCGAGGAGCAGATAATGCGTTGCGCGGCGGGCTTGATTGCGGGTGGTGAAGGAGGGGAGGCGGGTGAGATCAGATTTGGAGAAGAGGAGCGTATTGAACCAGTAGATGCGTCCCTCGTGTCTATAATGTGGAGTCAGTACAGGGTGATATTTTGGCATGGGCAGATGTAGGACGACTCACGCTTTCCGTAGATAGTCCAAAGTGGATATCCGCTTCGAGGCCAAATCTTGTATGTGTTGGAATACGAGGTTTGGTGTTGAGCCATTGGGCACGGGTATGGGTGTTGCTGATGGCGGGGCACGACTCGACTGCTGGCTGGTCTGTAGCGTCTCCTTTTGCGAAGGTGGGTGTCGCATGGGCATAGGGGCAGCCATGGCACCAAAGGGGGTCTTTGGTTTGTCGACAGCGCTCAGCGGGCTCTTCTCGTATGTCTGGGCGTTGGTCTCGGGCCTCACGTTCTCCGTGCTCTTTTGCTTGTTGCGTGAGAATGTGGAGATGGAGAGGGCCGGGCGCGAGGCATGCCCCACGGCGTTGGGCACGGAGGCCTTTTCGGGGGAGTAGGTCAGCGCCACGTTGGCGGAGGGAGTCCTCTTGTGCGAGGGGGAACTGCCGGTGCCGTTGCTTGTGTTGGTGCGCACAGAGGCACTGCGAGAGCGTCGCAGCTGGGAGCCGAGGTCGGTGACGGACGAGGCGATGCTGTGTCGACTGCCTTGCCTGCGCCTGGGTGGGGTCGAGGGCAGTCTGGAAGACTCGTCGTACTGGCTTGCGCTGAGGCCGTGGGGGTCTTCGACTGGCTTTCGATCAGTTAGATTGCGATGGTGACCTATAGCAACGACAGA